CCCCCCCTTTCCCCCCCCCCCCCCTCCCAGGCTGTTCAAGAATTCGCAACAGCTCTCGCTAATCGAAAAGATATCACCATATTTTATATATATTTTATATATGGCGATGTCTTTTCGATTAGCTAGAACTGTTGCGAATGCTCGAACACATAATTTTTCAACAATAATCAAAATCGTGCAGCAACCTGTATTTCATCCCTTACCTCCAAGTACACGTGCAATAGGGACATACGCACATACAATATGGAAATGGAAGAGCCTGCCCTCGTGTGATGTTTGTACAGACACATACACACACACACATAAACGCACACATACACACACATATACATACGTATATACGCATATACGAACTGTTAAGGTACAAGAATTTAATAAGAATCAAATTACTTGGATCTAGGCAATAAATCTGCCAAAAAACAAAATCGCAAGGCTGTCTGTGTTTCACCTCTTAGCTCTAAATACACGTACAATAGAAATGCACATACATGTAATACAGAAAAGGAAAAGCCTGCTGTCACACGAGGTCGTACAGACACACACGTAAACACACACACGCACGCACACACAGGAGGTGTATGGATAAAAATATCCAATAAAAAAAAGAAGGATCAAATTACTGGATCCAGGCAATTTACGTGCCAAAAATCAAAATCGAGGAGCAGGGAAACACAGCATTAACCCGCTTCACTTCTCTCCAACCCTCACGCAAGTCAACGAGTACGAGAGGGTGAAAGTTTCAGCGGGAAAATCGCTAATCCGGGGACCAGAAAAGCTAGAAAGCTGAAATTTTGAGGTTACGTTCCCCGTTCACAGAGAACTCAAGGACTTGAAATTTAGTGCATGGAAATCATATATCTAACTGCACCGAACTATACAGACTAAAGAGCATGAAAATCTTATATTTAACTGCGCGAAACTATACGGAGATAACTGTTTTTATAGGTAATCCGTTAGAAGCACTAGCAACAAAGGGCAGACCATCCTATGATATAGCTAGACAGATTCATTGATGAGGTGCGCGACCGCGAAAAGGTCAATGGACGGAAGAAGCCAACCTGGTACACGAAGTTCACATTTGAAGCGTGGTTTGCCACCGCGTGTTGCCATTGGCATGGTATTGTAGGCCGGCGTACCAAGCTTTCTCTTGCCAAGCCATCCATAGAGCCATCCGCGAATTTCGTCCGACATTGTAGCAGCAGCAGTAGCGCAACTGTTGTTTGCACAGCTCAAAGCTTCAATGAAGTTCACCGAACAACCTGAAAAATAAAGAATCACAGTAAAAAAAAAAACTCGCCGCGAAATAGCGTTAGCGGAGATGCTAGAGTAACAGCCGAACCGAGCCGAGCCGAACTGCTTCATAAAAGCCCGTATGCAGTGGCGGGCAAAAAAAAAACGAAGGCTTATTTTATGCAGCAAAATCGCTTAAACAGATTCGTTCCCGGAAGAGGAAAACAAAGGAGGGAAATGAGGGAGGGGAAATAAGTTATGAGTCTCCGGATGGAAGGAGAAGAGTTCCAACCCGTACATCTGTGGGATGGTAGCTCGGGTACCAAAGCCCCCTCCCCTCTCCCGACTCTCCCAGTAAATTTACACCCGATTTACGATCCTGGGACATCGACTAACTTATTTTTTGTCTCTTTTTTTGGGGCAAAAACTAAAAATCCCAGAATAGGACCTAAAAGAGGACCTAAAGGACCTAAAAATCCAAAAAAGGGATCGGATGAGCCACGAGAGGCACTTGAAAATCCTCAGGCGAGGACCGAATGGCCCCCTGGCGGGTATGGAAACCCTCTGGGGGCGAGTATGCAAAATACCCAAAGAGGACCTACGAACGAAACCGGATAACTCACGAGGGGGCTTAAGAATTCCCAGGTGGAGACCGAATACCCTCCCTCCCCCGTCCCCTCCCTCTCCTGATGGATATGAAAAAAACTCTCTGGAGGTGAGAACCCAAAATCCTAAAAGAGGACCTGACAAGCTGAAAAAGCAACTGGATGATCCACGACAAGCACTTGAGAATTTCCAGGCACGGACCAAATGCCTCCCCCTCCCCCTCCCCCCACCCCAGTCCCCTTTCTGATGGATATGAAAATCTTTTGGGCATGAAGCCAAAATTCTAGAATAGGATCAATTCTAGAATATGAATAGGATCAAAGCATTCTGCAGATCGCCTACAAGGAGGATTGGTCTGGAAACTCTCGAATAATCCACTTGACGGATCCGACAACTCTTGGATGGAAGTGAAAGGATCAGCAGGGGGGTCTCGGAGATCTCCCAGTCGGATTTGATAGCAAATACCCCGTTATCCTAATCTACGAATATGCATCATATGCCCGGGAATCCGCCCGCCACGCTACCTCACCAGCACCAACACCGACAACCAGCAGTGCCACCACCTAACAGGCTATTCAGGAAGAAACTTGGCTCAACCGAACACAACCACGAAACGCAGCCAACTGAGCGCTAGAGAGCAGTGCCCCAAGTTTTAAAATCGATGAATTTATGCAAATTCATGGAATCGTTGTAGGACGCCACGCGACCAAACACGTCTCGCAAGCGCAAACCGGTACCAACTGACCACCCACACAGTGGGTTCTCTGTTAGTGATGTTACTGGGATGTTCCGGAATGCGGGGCGGGGCTACCGCCAAACCTTTAATACTGGGGACTGCACTGCTTTAGTTAGTACCCACCGCCTGTTCGATGTATGTGCGCCACCTCTTCGAGAGCCGCCCGAGAGGTCTTTTAATTTTTCGTGGTCACCATTCACTGATGCGCGTCGTCCACCGGTTGTCAGCAAGGCGAACAACATGTCCTGCCTATCGGATTTAACTTTCTTGCAAACCGTCGCACAGATATCCTTCATGTTGCTCATCAGACAGAGAGCTTACAAACAGAGAGCAGCACTGAATAGGAATGTATGCGACTTGGTGGACCGAAACATTCCCATTCAGATTTTAATTTTATTTTATTCATATTTCCATTTTTATCTTTTTACAATCTTTCATAATC